AAGTTTTTAGCAATGCATATTACTAATCAAAAAGTACGTTTTAATATATTTACAGTAGGAAATTTACAAACTATCTTCATGGAACATGATCTTTGCTTAATATCCTAATGATTTTTGGCATAAAATAAATATCAATAATTTTGACCCATACAATGTATTTTTGGCTATTTCTACAAATATACCCCAGCGACTTAAGACTGGTTTTGTGGTCCAGGGTCACAAATAAGAATAAGCCCATAATGTGCCCATAATTATCTATCCAAATGTGTTATCTTGGAAATAAACCACATAAAAAAATATAGTCACCTGCATCTGCCCACTTTATTAACTCCAAAACTGGAGCCCAAACAACAAGCCCAAAGACGCTAAATAAGTGTACAAAACAATAATCTAGGGGATTCACTCTGGTATTTAAATGTGGTTACTGTGTACGTGGCCTATGAGTCTTTATGGGCAAACTTAAAAACATCTCACTTTTTAAGTAAAATCATTTCAAATCATATTCTTGGGTGATTAAGTCCAGTGCCAGGGTTTCCCATTGCACGGAAACATTGAAATGTTAATCGTTCTTCTGAGCTGATGAATGAGAGGGGAGGTAGTTGTGTGCATCAGTGCCTTAAAGAGTGCTCTGTTCCTCTTTATTCCTCTCCCCTTAGAAACTAGAGCACTCAGCAACCTGCAGGAAAAAGCCCAAGCACTCATCTATCTTCCTTGAGTGTGTGTATGTGTGTGTTTGTCTCTGTGAGTGTGTGCGTGTTCTCCTTGAACTCCATTTGTTTACCTCCCAGAGTTCTTATTGAATGAGGACAGATAGCTAACTCTGAGAGACTAAAGGAGTGGGGAGATTCAAGCAGATTTATTTACAGTGTCATCTATAGTGCCACTAAAACCTTCTTTTTTCTTTTATGCTATTAAGTTTATATATTACCGAATGTCAATGTCAATAAAGACTGTGTATCCTGATTCTCCAGCGTTCTCCTTGTTCCTTGTTCCACGCTCCTCACCGTAGGCGCAACGTGACAGAATACCGGATCAAAACAGAAAGTAAGCGGCGCCCCTTTTCCCTGTTTTGTTTCCGGTTTTGAAAGTCTTTTGTTTTCTTGTTCCCCCCCCCCCCTGCGATCATGGAAATCGCCGCTCGTTTCTCCGCCTTAGCCCGCAGAGATCTCCCCTTCTTCGAGTACGCCTAGGAATTCTGCGGGCTCGCCTAAGGAGGGCTCCAGTCCCCAAGTCAAGCCCAGGGAGGGCCACTGTTCCCAAGTTAGGCCTACAGAGGGCCTCTAAAGACAATATTATCCCCAAAGATTTTTTTGGGGGGGTAGTATGGGTCCATCCGTAGTGGCCGGGCCGAGTTGCGAGGCCAAGGCCATGGAGGCCATCCAGCCATGGCCTCCTGAGTTCCCTACTCCGCCATTCCAGGACGCCAACCCCCCCCCCCCGGTGGAATTGTTACGGCACGGGACGTGCCTTCTGGGAGGGGAGAGTAATGTCAGACTCTGTTCCGTGTCTGTGTGTGTTTCCTCCCCCCACGTGCTCCATGTTATGATTATTTCCTTATTTGGTCTTCCTGTTCCTGTCCTGATTGTGTTATCATTTGTTCCAGGGGTTCCCCGTTCTGTTCCATTGTTCCCAGGTGTGTTCCATTAGTTTCAGTGTATTTAAAGTGTTTTCTGCCCCTCGTTTCCCGTCCGGTATTGATCGTCAATCCCCGTGTCCTACGTGTGATTCCTGTGGTGTCAATGTCAATAAAGACTGTGCATCCTGATTCTCCAGCGTTCTCCTCATTCCTTGTTCCTCGCTCCTCACCGTAGGCGCCTCACCGCAACGTGACACTAATAAAGAACCTTTAAGAGATTACGGGTGTTTCTATAGATTTTAGCCATAACACACACTTTTCAGACTCTCACTAATATTTTTTTTCCTTACATATAACTGTGCATATAACTATATTACAAGATAATTTTGTCTTTTTGGGGGGAATATTTCCATCACATCTCAAATATGTCTTGTTAAGAGACAAGATTTCATAGCTAGCATTTTATGTATCCAAAAAATACATAATGAATGAAGTACGCTTGAGATGAAATACAGTACCTCCTTGGTGTCCTTGGTAACCAAGTACACTAACATTTAAAAAAACATAATTGTTATTTATTGGGGGGGGATTTTTAGATTTTTCAAATGCAATAATTTTTGTTTTTGATGAATTTATAAGATCAAAAACCATTAATAATAAATGCCTTCACAATGCAATATGTGCATAAAAGTAAAAAATAAATAAAAGAAGCACAATGTGGCATGAAAAAGGGTTTCCATGACAATGTGACCTTCATATAATAAAAAGACAAATGTCGAAGTCCCTATTATTGATGTAGGAGGTTTGGATTTTCTTCCTTCACATGCTCTGTTTTTCTCTCGTAGTGGAGTTGAAGTTCAATCTGGATCATTACGTGAATAAGCGATATCCCGGCCTGGTGAAGATTGTGAGGAACAGTAAAAGAGAGGGACTTATACGGGCCAGGATTCATGGCTGGAACGCAGCCACTGCTCCTGTTGTGGGATTCTTTGATGCCCATGTGGAGTTCAACACAGGCTGGTAAGTGATATTCAGTCTTTTATTATTTTATAAGGCATTGTCTCACCACTCAGAATATAACTGACATGCTTCACATGACAAAGGCTTGATTTATCAGAGAATATTCATCATGACATCAATGGTAGCTTAGACTTCAGTGAGGAAAGCAGCCTGAAGGGTTTTTATCTAAAGCATCTGTCAAAAATGAACTGATAGATTAATGATCTCAAAAATGGATGAATGTATGTGCCCCAAATTAAATAACCGTTTTCCTCTCTGATAGTAATGGGCTACCCTGCTGAAAAGTCTTTTCAAACTTGTACATGCCGTTTAGTGCTGGTCTGGTTGGGAACCGGCATCCAAACTTCAACATATAGAGACCAGTGTATTTTTTTGAAGACAATCCAGGTAGAACAATAAAGCTATTGTTTGTTGCTTCCAAAAACACAAAACAGCTCCGATGTGCTGAGACTTGCTGTACCCACCGCACTCACAATCCTTAAATGAACTCAAGCATCCTTCATCTGTCACCTCCTTCAACTCAACAGCAAAGAGTTCTCATTAAGGCCTCCCATTAGATTAGTATGACCTCCATGTGGGAATTCTGGATTAACCATTAATGCAGGGCTGTACAGTGCGACATTTATGTCCATATCCATAGACATATACAGTACGTGCATATACTGTATGCACGTGCTACGAAAAAACTGGTCTGTGCGATGAATAAATTTACCACTGTAGCATGCGTGCGATACAGTTTTGCATGTTCATAACACAGCCGCTTAATAGTGTGAAGTGATTTCGTTGTGCTTGTTTGTGTGTGTGAGATTGATTATACTTGGTAGTTAGGGGTGTGCGATATGACAATTTTTGATCGTGGACGATTAAAATGTCTCCACGATCTGCTTTTGAAGAAATATCGTTGTATCGTACTACAGCGCACATTCTATCAGCTGCAGTTCTGGCGCCTCACTCCGTCTCAATATAATGTACAACGCCACATGCAGGGTGCGAACTACGGGGGAGCTAGGGGGAGCTCGGCT